GGGATCTCTCCTGGGCCGTCTTGGGAGCCTCGTGGGCCGTCTCGAACTGCCTTAGAACATCGTGGCGCCCTGTTTGGGCCGCCTTGGACTGCTCGGGAGCTCTGGAGGCCGCGGGGCACGTGTTGACGAGCTCGCAGCCCCTCTTCCCCCCCCCCCCCGGGGAGGCTCAAACCGAAGTTTGGACCCCAGTGGAGGGGGAAAGCGGACCAGGAACAGCAAAGCATCTCACACTCCTTGTCTCGGGGGTTGCTGAAGGCACCCCTGGCCCAAGGTGCTCCCAGCTGTGCGCTCCAGTTTGGAGCCCCCTGGGCCTCTCTGGGAATCGTGAGGGGTGCTTTGGAGGCTGTGGGGACCTCCTCGGAGTCCTGGGGGCACCTCGTGTCAGGGGTACTTCTGGCAACACCCGATGGTCACCCCCGCAAGCGGAGGGCCGGCGGATGCGTGCGTTGGTTTGTAGCCCCCGGCCCCCGCCTTTGCTGGCCACTTGCTGTCGCCATGGCGCCAACATCGCAGAGCGGATGTCGTTCGGAAGCCGATGGGATGGGCCCGGAGGGTCCTGGAGAATCTCCTTCCGGATTTCGAGGTGAGTTTAGTGTGGATTTTTTTGTTGGGGGGGGCCAGGAATGAAGACTAAAAACAAATCCACGCGACACCCACTTCTTTTTGTCACTCGCCGTTTCGGCGTGTTGCATTGGCAGAAATCCACGCAACAATTCGCTGCAGCACATTTGCAAGGTTGGTGCAGTGAGCTGTCGTCGTCCGCTGACCAGGCGGCTCCTTCAGCAAGGACACGCTGAGCGCCATGGCCACCGCGCGCACGAGCGTCGAGAGCGAGCTGCAGAAGCTGCGGGCGCTCGAGAAGGAGTGCCCGGCAGAGCGTCAGCAACCGACCACGAAGATGCCTTGGAGGAGGACGGCGACGACGACAACGACGACGCCGACGCCGACGAGGAGGAGGACGAAGAGGCCTTGGAGGACGACGACGACGACAACGACGACGCCGACGCCGAGGAGGAGGAGGAGGAGGAGGAGGAGGAAGGAAGAGAAGGAGAGGAGGAGGAGGAGGAGGAGGAGGAGGCCGTGGAGGACGACGACGCCGACGAGGAGGAGGAAAACGACTCGACGACCTCGGCCAGGGCAGCCTAGCAGCGGCAGAGGCCAGGGCCCCCACAACGGCGCGACAGATCATCCCCCTTATCCTGCTCCTCGAAGGGTGAAAAGGGGGGAGGATCGAGGATCGAGGAAATCGAGGATCGAGATCTAGGATCGAGGAAGTCGAGGATCTTGAAATCGAGGAAGTCGAGGAATCGAGGAAGTCGAGGGATCGGGGATCGAGGAATCGAAGGGTGAAGGGGGGGAGGATCGAGATCGAGGATCGAGGAGGCAGAAGAATCGAGGAATTCGAGGATCGAGATCTTTGGAGGGCCTCTGGTCGCGTCGGGGCTTCGAGGGGGGCGACGCGAGACGTGAAAGCCAGGCGGGCGCGGCGCAGATCTGGGGGTCCGCGGCTGGACCTGCCCGCGTGGTGGCGAGCTCACGCCTTGAGATTCGGCGCGCCGCTCGCGCAGAAAGCCGGGCACGCCGCGAGAAAGCCGTGCAGGCGCTGGCGAGGCCGGCGTCGACACCGCCCAGATCACTAGCGAAGTCCTTTTGGGGGCCTCCTCCTCCTCCTCCTCCTCCTCCTCCTCCTCCTCCTCCTCCTCCTCCTCCTAGCTCCTCCTCCTCCTCCTCCTCCTCCTCCTAGCTCCTCCTCCTCCTCCTCCTCCTCCTCCTCCTCCTCCTCCTCCTCGGCGGGGCGCCCGGCGGGGCGCCCGTGGAAAGGATACCGGCGGCATACGTCAGACGCCAGCTGGGTGTATATTCGGGGGCGGAAGAGAGGGGGGGGTGATGACCAGGGGGGGGTGGATCTCATGGCGGGGGCCATGCTATTTTTTCCCCGATTTCAGGGCGCCCCTCCTTATTTCATTACGTCCCTGGCCCCCAGTTGGGCCGCGCACATGCCGCCGGTCATGATTTGCACCCCCCCCTCTTGGATACCCCCCTCTTGACCGCTCCCGATATATATATATATATATATATATATATAGTGTGTGTATACACGCATGTATATGGTATCCTTACAAAGGGGGCCTATGCGGCTCCCCCCTTCCGAAACGAACCCCCGCCGTTTCAACCACGTTTCAACCCTTCACTCATTTTGGCTTGGACCTCCCCAGCCCAAGTGCCACTGGGCTGGTGGCGAGGTGGCTGTGGCCCGCGGCCAGCCAGCGACAACCGCAGGCTGTGCTGGCCTGCGGGCCACCCACTCCCGCCGCGGTCCCTTCCTTGCCCTAGGGCCGCGGCGGGCGATCGCGCCGAGGGCGCTCCTCGGTCTCGGCGCTGCTGGGAGCTGGCGCGCCGGATGCGCAGGGGGCCGCCCGCATGGCCGTTCCCCCGCGGCGCCTGGTTCGACGCGCGGTCGAACGGCGAGCTGCTGAAGGGCTGGCGCTCGGGCCCAGCGACCACCTGTTGGCGCAGGTCCGCGACGGGGCTGGCCAGGCGCAGGGGGTGGAGCTGCTGTGAGTCGAGGTCGCGCACGACCAGGACTCGCACGAGGGCGACCACGCTGCCGCCGGGCGCTTCGTCCGGGGGGGATATATAGAGCATATGGTATACTTGCAGAGTGGCCTATGCGGCCCCCCCCCTTCCTAAACGAACCCGCCGTTTAAACCGCGTCTAAATCCCGCAGTCATTTCGGCCCTCCCGACAAAGATCGAGGAGGCCAGGCTGGCGAGTAGAGGCGGTCCCTGGCGCCTTCAAGCGCCTCGGGATCCGCCTTGCCATGCCAGACCCTCGCCCTCGACGGGTCTTCCCAGGCGCGGAGTGTCCTTGCGGCCTCCGGGGGTGCCCAGGCGTGCCTTTCCTGGCCGGCGTTTCGCCGTGCGCATGGGAGGGGCATGCCTGGCCCTCCGCCTGTGGGAGGCCTGTCGGGGGGGGGCTCGGGCCCCTGGCAAAGCGACTCCTGGCGGAGCGCTCAAAACAGGGGGGATCGAGTATATAGATACACATACATATACACACACAGATATATAGATGAATAGCCAAACCAAGTGGCAAACAACATTCAATGAGTTCGCGCCCTCGGCTCTCTGAAAGCACGGTGTCTTCGACGATCCCCACTCGAAAGAATGACACAGCATGTGGACAAAGTCTGGCGATCTCAACGACGCATGCTGTGAGTGAACTGCCCAGCGCGCAGACGGCGGCACCCGTCTGGCGAGCTTCGTAGTTTATCTCCCGCTACAGTTCCAACAATATGTGTGCCGAACTATGGTAGCAACGACAGTGCACCGACATCTCAGGCGTTTGGGTCGGGGTGGGCGCTAAGGGCGGCTCGCGACATAAATCATGTTTTTGTTCGAAGGTCCGGCGTGTCAAACTGGATTACCGCACGTCTCCGTTTCTTGCACGTGCGGCATCTGGGTGTATGCGTCGACTGCAGATGACGATGCGGCCAACAAAACTGTTGATTTCCCTCGAGGCATTGGCGGGGCAGGTCCGCGCACTGAGGCAGAGCATAGCGACATCATCATCGACCAGATGCACCAGGTCAGCGAGGACGAGGTCGTCGAGTTAAGCCTCGCGGCGGCCGTCGGCCTTGGCTACGCGAGCGAGGTTGGGCCCACAGACCTACTTCAAGACGACAATTGCCCGTTGATCCTTCCCTGGGCGGAGGGAGAGGCTCGGCGCGGCGAGGTGGAGTCTGAGCTCCACGCGGACAGGGAAGACGCGTGGAGGACTTGGCTGCGCAAAGTTCACGAGTGGCGACGGCAGTTGGACAAGTGATGGGCTCGGGTGGGCCGCGTGGGCAGATGCCTGGGGGGTGCGCCGTCAAATCCTGCAATTTTGGCCCTTCGAGCGAGGGGGCCAGGAATTTTGCAGAAAATGCATCAGATGTTTGCCATTGTTGTCAAAAGGGAAGAGACCCACGGAGCAGCAGGAGCCGAAGAAACTTCGATCGCCTCGTTGGACCGACTGACTCTAACATCGCTGCGTCCGCGGCGTCTCCAATCAAGAAGCTCCAGATGCAGAAGACGCAATCTACAACAAGGTCGTTGGCTTCAGGTTAGGGGGCGGTGCCAACTTGGGCGTCGCAATCTCTTGCCGGACGAACTTGCGACGCCCCGCGCGTCGGCGCGTGCGATGCGTTGGTGCGGGGCCAGAATGCCAGGAAGTGGTTGTCTGCATCTTGCGGGGCGGCGGCCACCTTCATCATGTGCCAGTTATCATTGTCACTGCCCGCGGAAGGCGCGGTGACCGACGAGGCGGCGACGGCGACTGAATGAGGTCGGCCGTCATCGCACAAGTTCAAGACCATAAAGGAAGGCGCGCAAGCACGGGGTCGCCAGGAATCGCTTGAGAGGGCGCATGACGACAGAGAGCACAGACCACCGAGTAGTCCCCCGATTGTCTCGAGATCGATTTGTTTCGGTGGATTTGGACCAGATGATTTGTTTGGAAAGGCGACCCAGAAACCAGCCAGCTTACTTGCGCAACCCTGTCTTCAATGCGGACACCGCTTTGCCTGCGGCGAGAACGCAGGGCGCCATCTGCTGCGAGCGAAAGAGAGAGTGATAGAGAGAGAGATATCGCTATAATCTCGGTCGTCGAGACCTCGGGGCTCATATCTTTCTTGGAAGCTGAATTACCTCGAGGCGTCTCCTGCAACCTACAGACATCGAAGCTCATACCGAGGCGGTTCAAGACGAGGCGCGAAAACACGGACGACGCATTTTGGAACCGAGTTGCGGAATCAAGCAATACAGTCAGCAGGCGCTTCATCTATCGACCCAGCGATGACGAACCGTCGGGAATTTTGAGGCACAAGCGCGATCCGACCTCTTACCGGAATGGGCAGCCCAGCGCGCGCCGACAGGGCGGGCGCCCCCCGAGGATATCAGCCCGGGCAGTCTGACGCGATCGGACAAATTCTACGAATATGCCCCCAGCTGAAACAGCACGATCGACCGCCTTGAGCGAAAGCTCAAAACACCAAGGGATTGTTCTGCCTCAGAACGCGGTCAAGGAGGGGGGGGGCCCATTGGCACCACGGCGGAAGCATCGACTCCAGCAGTGCCGCCGCAAGAACAGCAACATTTTACATACATACTAGTTCAAGAGGAGGCGGCGCCCCATCGTCGCCCGGCCGAAGCGCGACCCGTAGCGCGCCACAGCCAGAGCAGCCACGAACATCAGCAGTTCCATCGAGGATGGACATGACGGAGCAGGCTCATTGCGGTGGAGCAGGGACTTGTCCTGCATGTGTTGTAGGTGTACTTCTTCATGGTAGCAAGCCAGGGCATGACCCCCCCTGCCCGCCGGCGATGCGAAGCCTGGAAGACGCGCGCTACGATCGTTGAGACTCTCGGCGCCATCAGAAGTCAGGCACATCGCCAAAAAGTATGGAGCCACACCAGCTGGTGGGGCCATAGTTACGACGGCCGAGATGATGGCGGACTGATTTTCAGTCAAGCCAGCCTCCGAGATGGCACGCGGAGAACATCGCCAATGCATGGCGGGAAGGAACTGCGTCATATTTTGATATTTCTCGGGCGGTGGAAGGAGTGGGGCGCCGGCGGGCCTTTGAACGCAGGCGGGGGAAGCGAGCGTCTATCTCGGGCCATCGGGGCCCCCCGCGCTGTCGTCGGCCAAGAGGGGCGGGACGCTGCCTGGAATCATGCCAGAGAGCGATGTCGCCCAGGACAGGAGCTCGCCGTTGCCCGAAGACCGCTTGGAGTGGATGTTCCTGAAGCAGCCGCGGCTGAGCCTGGCCCGACCACGCCGCGCTGCGCATCGCAAGCGCCCGCGACCCGCACGGGCGCCGCCGCTGGAAGAGGCGCGGCGAGGGCGCATTCGAGATGCCGCCGCGGACTGACCCCCATGGGAAGACGCAAGGGGGAACGACATATACCAATGGGCGAGCGCGGGGCGCCCGCCCCACGCGCGCGCGACTTCGCGATGAGTGGGGGCACTTGGATCGGCGAATGAATTTGCCGCGCGAGGTCGGGCCCCGCGTCGGCCCCGTCGCCGGGGACTGCACCGCCGCGGCACATCTCAAGAGGCAGGCGCATTTCAAGAGGCAGGCCACGGCGCGCCTGCAACAGGCGCACGAACATCGCCCGAGGGCAACGAGAGAACTGCGCACGGGGCCAGGGCGTCCAAGATGTCTCCAGGGGTCGCCAACCAGAAACTGATGGGCAAGGATGAGTTCCTGAAGGCCCACGAGAAATCTTCGGAACGCAGCAAGGAGTGGCGCGGCGCGGCCGAGAACAAGCTGAAGCACAAGCGCCAAAAGGAATATGACCTCAGTCGCCCAGGGTAGCGCGCGGGGGCGAAAACAAAGAGGAAGACTCGCAAGGCCCAGAGGCACCGGGAGCTGAAGTTGATGAAGGGGCGCGCTGGGGTCTCGCGGAGACCAGGTGCCCCAGATTGAATAGGCTCTGAATGGCGCAGCCAGCGCGCGGCCAGACAGCGCGCGGACGCCGCTGATTATTCTTTTCGGCGGGCGCCGCCTCCACGTCTGGGCCCGTGGCCGTGCGCCTCGGAGATTGGATCGAGCGAGGCAAATCATTTTCTTTCGGCGGGCAATGCCCTCGCGTCTCGGCCGCTGGCCATGCGCCCCTCGAAGAAACCAAAGTGGCAAGTTCTGATTGGGCATGGGGGCGCCCAGCTCAATGTCGAGAACTCACGTGGGCCCCCTTCCTCGGCTTGTCACTCCCCAGTGTCCGGACCGCGGTTGGCCATGCGCTGGCGGGGCAAGTTCCAGACGAACGCTTCATTTATGCATGAGTGCCCGTCGAAATGTTCACGAGCTCTCTGCGCCTGCTCTGAAGGCGACTCTCTTCGTGGAGGCGGGGGCCCATGCCGGAGCTGAGAGTGGGCGCCGCGATGTGTCGCTCGAGAATCTCGATGAACGACGAAGCCCCCTCTCAGAAAAATGCATGATCTTCTGGGCGAGGGCTTGAGGCGCGGCGAAGTTGACGCGATTGCCATTCAGGAGGTCAAACAAGCCGACATCTACTAGAGGTAGATCATCGATGTCGCCAAGAAGGCTCGTTTGTCGGTCGCATGCTCCGCGCCACCACCTGGCGGCGCACATCGCGGCGCACGTCGTGGTGCGCCGGTATCTGGGTGAGGAGAAGCTTGGGGAACAATGGTTTCAATATTGCGGCATGAGCGCCTAGGGCATCACGCGGTGGTTGCACGCACTCGGCCAGCGACGTGCTCGTACGTGTATGGGTTATCGTTTTGGACGTGCTCTTGTTCCATTTTCAACGCCCAAGCCATGGGGGCCGATGGGCGATCGACTTCCGTTTTCGGGGACCTTAACTGACGACGTGCTCATGCGCATCTTTTGGGCTGGGCTTCCAGGTGGAAGCTCGACGTGCGCCTGCCAAAGCTTCAGTCACGACGCCGACTCGCGTCTTGTTTGTGGCTTGGTCCACTGGAAAGAACTGCGCCCTTCTGTGGGGGATGTGGCCATTGCCTGACAGACCACATCATGGTCCAATTTGGCACAGAATTCAGGGAACAACTGGGCCTGGAAAAGAAGCATGACTTCGACATGCTGTAGATGATATGCCACAGCAAATTCCACCAGAGGACGGCCCGCAGGCACTGCAGGCGGAGCTGGATACAACAACGCAGGCGAGACAAGATGCACGGCCTGAATCCATGGGTCAACGCTCGAGGCGATGGCACGCAATGGCGGAGGTAGGGCTACAGATTGCGGCGGAGAAAAGGCCTCGCCACGGTCGAACGCCAACCAGTCCGATCGGGGGTTTTGCATCGGCCGGATCAGACCATCGCACATCGACGACTGCTACGACTGCCTCAACGCTTTGCAGGGGGACGACGTCATCCTTGCGAGGGTCTCCATGGGCCACATCTTCGAAAGCGTGGCCAGGCGGTCTTTGTCGACGGCATCCCCATCTCCAGGGACAGGACATGCCAACATGCCCGGGCGCTCTCGTGACCATTTCGACCGCGATCGCGTTGGAAAAACAAGGAGCCACAGCCGCAAAAGGCCGAGGGGTGGCGGAAAGGTTTGCGGCTTGTGATCTGAATTGCCCCATTGAGCTTTTGTTTCGGCTACCGGTGCCGGCGGCGCCGTCTGGCCCACGGACATGAAGATTTCGACCGCGATCGCGTTGGAAAAACAAGAAACCACATCCGCAAAAGGCCGAGGAGTGGCGGAAAGGCTTCTTGCGGCTTGTGATCTGAGTTGCCCCATTGAGCCTTTGTTTCGGCTGCGGGTGCCGGCGGCGCCGTCTGGGCCCACAGACATTAAGATCGATTGGCAAAAGCATCGGGGGCGGAAAAGAGGGGGGTGATGACTAGTGGGGGGTGGATATCATGGCGTGGGCCATGATATTCCCCCAGATTTCATAGCGCCTCTTCTTATTTCATTACGTCCCTGGCCCCCCCGCTGGGCCGCGCACGTGCCGCCTGTCATGATTTGCACCCCCCCCCTCTTCGACACCCCCCTCTTGGCCGCTCCCGAAAGCAGTGGTGCCTTGAGGACCACCGGACGCAAGCGAGGCAACACGTCGCCAAGTGTCGGAGGCGTCGCAGTCTGCAGGAGCCGAGCCTGCTCTTACAATGGCGTCTGATCGTATTGACCACGAGATTGGGTTGGAGGCGCCCGACAGGTATGAAGTACCAAGCACAGTAATCTACGCGGCTGTGGCGGCCTGGCGCGGCTGGGTAACGCGCTGCGCCAGTTCGGCCAGCGCGAGGACTTCCTCATATAGACTCAGTAGCGCCAGGAGGCGTGCGCGCGCGCC